CGCCGCCGCCGCGGGGCGAGCCTGGCCTAGCCTGGGTTAGTGTCTTCAATATTCACCATGAGGTAAGGACTGGGCTGCCACATGTCTCAGCCTCTTGTCATGCTCCTTCCCGGGGACTTATCACAACTGTAATCAGACAACAGGTTATGGGGTCGCCCCGCGCTGGACTCCAGGGGGACGCAGCCCTCCTGAGGACAAGGAGCGTGCTGGGGACGTCTGTCCTGGGGAGGTCTGTCTGTCTCTGGGCCCTGGCCCCGGGCTCATGGGAGTGACCCGTCGTGCCTGCAGGAGGAGCAAGGAGGCTCTGGGTGCTGAGGGGGTCGTCAGTACCGGCGCTGGTGAGACCTGCCAGGTTCACACGGCGGAGGAGGGACCCGGGCCCACGGCAGGCCCCCTCTGCGTGCTCAGCCCTCCACCCAGCCCACCTTGCCCCTCTGCTCTGGGCCACTGGTGAGGTCACAGCCAGGCCACCTGACCACACACAGAGGCACGGGCCAGAGAGCGCGGCCCCCTGCACGCTCCGCCACTGCCCGGACCCAAAGGAAACAGCCTCTGCCCCAGCCCCCGGGAGGCTGCCAGCCTGCGCGGGGAACCTGAATGCACCAGCTTTGCAAAAGGAAACTGTCACAGCTCTGAAATCATCGGGAACGACAGACAAGTGCTACACCCTGCCGGGCAGCAGCCGTCATCCTCGGCACTAAAGCTGGCTCTGCGGGTACAGCTGCGGCCAGCGGGGAAACGGCGCCGTGACACCACCCGCGTTTCAGGGGAGGGCACCGAGGGCAGCGCGGGTGCGGCTGGCGGCGGCGGAGGGAGCCCCCGGGTACCTTGGCTCTGCTGAGCAGCTCGGCGATGAGCCGGATGGACTGCAGGTTCCTCTGGGCCAGCAGCAGCTTGCGCTCCTCCAGCTTGATCTTCTCCTGCAGCTGCTTCTGCTCCTCCGCCTGCAGCTTCTCCAGCTTCTTCTGGTTCCGGCGCAGCTCGCGGTCCCTCTGCTTCTGCTCCCGCTTGCGAAGCTTCTCTTCTCTTTTCCTCTCTCGCTCCAGCTCTTCCAGCTCCTTCTGCTTCCTGCGTGGAACACACCGGGGGTTTGTCACAGATAGCAGCTGTAGCCAACACATGATACACCATACAAGTGGCTTTTCACACAAGGGGGAAAAGGCCACAGTCGAACGATTAAGCATTTAACTCTTTATCCCCAGGTGGACCTCGGCTGACTCAAAGCGGCCCGAGGGGTGGAAGGAGTGAGCCGGGCGAGGACCTCCGTGACCTTCCAACACACCATCCTGCTAAGTGTGACCCAACCCCGAAACCACCAAGAAAACGACCAGCGAATCGACCACATCAAAAGCCACGCCCCCAGCCCGGGGAAAGACGGACGGACGGACGGCGGAAAGAGCATCGGCAACAACTCAAGAAACTGCGGAAGATCCTTGGGGTGCGGCATCTGTGGCCGCCACCGAGGCAAGGCCAGCGCCCCAATGCGGAAACAGCGCACGGCAGAGGACGCAGATGGCCACCAAACCACGTAAGGCGCCCGGATTCGGCTGGTGCATGCGTCCAGAGGACAGCACTGAGCACAAACAGCAGGGGCCCCAGGAAGCAGGTTCCAGCTGCACAGGAAAGCTTTCTACAAATCACCAGTGAGGGCCAGAATGCACGCACACCAGGGAGGCGGCCCCGGGCACCAGGGAGGAGGAGGAGGAGGAGGAGGGACACGCGCCGTGCAGAGCCCTGCACCACAGCCAAGTGGACAATCTGGCCTTGAAGACAACAGACCGCACAGATCCCCGTTCTGTGAAATTCTACAAAGGCCCCACCCAGACGGCACAAAACCGCCAGCCCGGCTGCCTGGGGCTGTGGAGAGGGCGTCGAGGGCGTCGAGGGAGCAGGGCAGGAGGGGCCCTTCCCAGGGGAGGGGCACGTGGCTTCATCCGATTGCACTCAACGCCAGCACACTTCTCTGGGTGACGATCACCCATGACCTCAACAAGCAGGGCGGCGACCACACACACAGCTGGACGGGGAGGGACCCCTGCCCCAGCAGCCCAGCGGTGACGAAACACAGCAAGACCTGGTAAGAGTGGCCCGGGCCAGGCGCAGTGGCTCACGCCTATAATCCCAGCACTTTGGGAGGCCGAGGCAGGCAGATCACAAAGATCGAGACCATCCTGGCCAACACGGTGAAACCCCGTCTCTACTAAAAATACAAAAATTAGCCGGACATAGTGACGGGCACCTGTAATCCCAGCTGCTTGGGAGGCTGAGGCAGGAGAATGACAAGAATCGCTTGAACCCGGGAGGTGGAGCTTGCAGGGAGCCGAGATCGCACCACTGCCCTGGTGACAGAGCGAGACTCCGTCTCAACAAAAAAAAAGAAGAGTGGCCTGGAAGCCCCGCGTGCAGCTCTAAGCAGCACCGAGGAACCCGAGCAGGCCTGACGCAGCCCCAGAGATGCCCACCAGCGCGGTGGAGGCCAGTTCTGCCCACCAGGAGCCGCGCTTGGTGAGTCCGTGTCGTGCAGGAATCCTGTGAGGGCACCACACAGCACCGCATGGGGGGACCTCTCTCTAAACAAATCCAACCACAGCCACGCCACTCAGCTCCTCACACTTCTCCTGTGGAGAGGGGCGTCCCGCAACTGAGTATGAATGTGGCGGGGAAGGGGCACAGTCCCCAGAGAGAGTCCACGAGAGACAGATGGATTTCCCTAGCTCGCCCTGCCCCGCCGTGCGGTTCTCAGAGGCATTTAAACTACCACCGAACATGGGAACAAGTCACAGCCACTCCTACAGAACAGGACACAAAGGCCGAGACTTCTGAAGCCTGGGTGGGTGCCACCAACTGCCTGGCGAGGCCACAAAGCCCGCCGGGATGACGCAGACCCGCAGAGACACCAAGGGGAGAGGAGACACCAAGGGGAGAGGAGACACCAAGGCGAGAGGAGACACCAAGGCGAGAGGAGACACCAAGGGGAGAGGAGACACCAAGGCGAGAGGAGACACGGGGATGAGGAGGAGCAAGCCGGGAGAAAAGGCGTCCCGCTCTCCACCACCCCAAGAAGGGAGCCGGGCCAGGTGCCGACGGCCAGGCAGTGATCCACACGGTCTCCGGCCGAGGTATAAGGTCCTCAAGCAGTTCCATGTGCTGAAGGTTTAACTGTCCTGTGAGCTGTCACCGCCCCACGAGCTCAGAGGACGGCTCAGGGCAGCCCAGCACATAGCACGCCCTTAGGCGGGACTCACACCGACGCCTCAAGGCTGGGCAGCTTTCAGAGGACAGCGCTCATCAAGCTCCAAGTCACCTGTGAGGGCCAAACACACACGCCTCATTTCCACCCACCAGAGAGAAACCCGGAGGCTGCCCTGGGCCTCCTCTCATGCTCAGCCTCTGAGGAATGACGGGGGGACAGCAGGGGCGAGTACGGCCCTGCGTGAGGAAGGACAGCTACACCGGCCACCCCGGAGCCTTCCCGGCCAGCTCTCGCTGACGACGGGCCAGCCCTCCCCCAGGGCTCCAGCCACCCTGTCCTGCTGTGGAGAAGCTCATGGCCTGGCCCCGCGTCCCCCAAGCCCTCTGTGGTCTGGCCAGGTGGACGGGGCCTCTTCCCTGCAGAGGCCCACTTCACTTCTCCGACGCCCATCTCTCCTCAGGGAAAGATCAAGGATGCAGCTTCTCCTCACCCCCAAGCTGCTTTCTGAAATGTTGCGGGGACAGTCCTGCAAGACTGAGAGGTCCGAGGCTCTGAGTCCCACTCCCCACTTCCAGAACGTGGACAGGCACATTCAGCCAGGCCTGGGCTGTGTCTGACCCTGGAAGAGTCCCTGTAATGTCCCAGGACGGTCTCCCACCCCGGCTGTCCCGGTCGGCCTGACAGCGGCTGACACAGGGGACCCTGACTCAACCCCACATCCGAACCGCCCCTCCCAGGATGGCGACACAGCAGCACGTCCAGTTCTCCCCGGGTGTCTGCCTCTCTGTACTGCCTGCCTTGGGTCCTGGGGCTCCTGACGGCTGACCTGGGCCCCCCCAGCCCATTCACGGCCACTCGCTTACATGCTGCACCTGCCTCATCTAAGGAGGCCTCGGGGTTCAGATCCAGAGGCTGACAGCCTCACTCTCCCCTGGGGAGGCAACGGGGGCTATATAAAGAACACCAAGGGCAGGACGGCCTGCTCCCAGGAGTTCAGTGCCGGGACTCTCGTGCAAACATCACCCGCCACACACATCAACACACTGGCACCAGCGTCACATAAAGCAGTGAGAAACGGAAACACAGCGGACCAACTCGGTCCCACCGGAGGCTGTCCAGGAGGCCCCCAGCCAAGTCCAACACATCCCAGACTCGGTATCGGCAACATGAAGCGCAACAGACGTGCAGGACGCACTAAAGTCTTCGGAGGGCACAGCCTGGTGGGGGGAGGAGAGAGAGGAGGGGGAGAGGAGGAGGGGGGGAGGAGGAGGAGGAGGAGATGGAGGAGGAGGAGATGGAAGAGGAGGAGGAATCCGCCTCACTAAGAGGGCACAGCAGGAGGGATGGAGAAGGACAACGAGGAACCCGCCTCACGGGATTCACAGCAAGTTGTTGGTTCCCTCTTGCAATGCTAAGAAGATAAAAAGGGCTACAAAGACTGACCGGAGGTTGTCTTTGGTACCCCAACCGCAGTGAACAACTCAGGCCATTGCTTTAAAGGCCTCTTAAGCGAAACTGGGTTTTTATCCTATGGTTTTTTGTTTTGTTTTAAATCCGGCCATTACCATCAACCCTCTACTTCATTTTGTAAACGTAGCCTCAACCTAAACGCAAACTTGCAAACGGCCAAGGCATTCTGCTTGTTTCAGTGGGATATGTGAACAGCGTGTGGAGGGAGAAGAGGTGGCTCTTCGGGAAAGGCGTGGTCCTGGGAACCGGCAGAGATCACGTCAGACCATGATGTACGACAGGAAAACGAACAGAAACACGCATATTCTGCTGCGTCTCAAACAGCCACTCACGCAGGTCCTCACGTGCACAGCTGAGCACCCACAGGCATGCACACACACCCATACGTGCACACACGCACACAAGCATGCACACAGGCATATGTGTGCTGTGTGCACAGATGCAGAGGAGCACACACACGGCACACATGCGTACATACGCACACAGGTACACACATGCACACAGGTACGCGAGCTCACAGGAACACATGCACACACACAGGCACATGTGTGCACACATGCAGAGGCACACACGGGGGCACACATGCGTACATACACAGGTATGCACACGAGCTCACAGGCACGCATGCACACACAGGCAC